TGCTCATCTTCGACCTGGGCGGGGGCACGTTCGACGTGTCGGTGCTGACGATCGACGACGGCATCTTCGAGGTGAAGGCCACGGCGGGCGACACGCACCTGGGCGGCGAGGACTTCGACAACCGGCTGGTGGGCCACTTCGTGGAGGAGTTCAAGCGGAAGCACAGGAAGGACCTGAGCGGCAACAAGCGCGCGGTGCGGCGGCTGCGCACGGCGTGCGAGCGCGCCAAGAGGACCCTGTCGTCCAGCACGCAGGCCAACCTGGAGATCGACTCGCTGTTCGAGGGCATCGACTTCTACACGTCCATCACCAGGGCGCGGTTCGAGGAGCTGTGCTCGGACCTGTTCCGCGGCACGCTGGAGCCCGTGGAGAAGGCGCTGCGCGACGCCAAGCTGGACAAGGCGCAGATCCACGACGTGGTGCTGGTGGGCGGCTCCACGCGCATCCCCAAGGTGCAGAAGCTGCTGCAGGACTTCTTCCACGGGCGCGACCTCAACAAGAGCATCAACCCGGACGAGGCGGTGGCCTACGGGGCGGCGGTGCAGGCGGCCATCCTGATGGGCGACCAGTCGGAGAAGGTGCAGGACCTGCTGCTGCTGGACGTGGCGCCGCTGTCGCTGGGGCTGGAGACGGCGGGCGGCGTGATGACGCCGCTGATCAAGCGCAACTCCACCATCCCCACCAAGCAGACGCAGGTGTTCACCACGTACTCGGACAACCAGCCCGGCGTGCTGATCCAGGTGTACGAGGGCGAGCGGGCCATGACGCGCGACAACAACCTGCTGGGGCGCTTCGAGCTCAGCGGCATCCCGCCGGCGCCGCGCGGCGTGCCGCAGATCGAGGTCACCTTCGACATCGACGCCAACGGCATCCTGCACGTCACGGCCACCGACAAGAGCACGGGCAAGGCCAACAAGATCACCATCACCAACGACAAGGGCCGCCTGAGCAAGGAGCAGATCGAGCGCATGGTGCAGGAGGCCGAGAAGTACAAGGCCGAGGACGAGGTGCAGCGCGAGCGCGTGGCGGCCAAGAACGCGCTCGAGTCCTACGCCTTCCACATGAAGAGCGCCGTGGAGGACGACGGGCTCAAGGGCAAGATCAGCGAGGCGGACAAGCGGCGCGTGCTGGACAAGTGCCAGGAGGTCCTCTCCTGGCTGGACGCCAACACCCTGGCCGACAAGGACGAGTTCGAGCACAAGCGGAAGGAGCTGGAGCAGGTGTGCAACCCGGTCATCAGCGGGCTCTACCAGGGTGCGGGCGGCCCCGGGGCCGGGGCCGGGGCCGGCGGGGGCTTCGGGGCTGCAGGCGGCAGGGGCGGCCCTGGGTCCGGGCCCACCATCGAGGAGGTCGATTAAGGACATTTCCTTTATTTCACTAATTTGCGAAATAACTGACTGAAGCACTTTGCTGTTGTCCTTTAATACCTGTCACCCCTATCCTTGGTAAGTTCCTTTTAAAGTTATATTGTAACTTGATAGTAATTAGCTTTTTTTTTGTTCTTAGTTTGTTGTAACCTAGATATTCGTTGGTGTTTTTGTAGTTAATCTAAGTTTGTACTGTAAGATGTCTTCTTCCTCTCAGATGAATCAATACTGCCACCCTCTGTACAACTCTGCTTTGTAAATCATCACAGTTTTAGGGATGCTTATTTTTATATTTTGTTTATTCAGCTATAATTAATAAAATGCTGATAATGTTTGTCTCTGTGTTTCTGGATGTGTAATGGAGTCGTGTTCTCTATTTGTCTGAATTTTTCTTAGATCACAGTGTATGCTGCTGAGCAGTATGGGTATTTGGAGTCATGGCCATGGGTATTTTCGTTGTAAGGTGGTAAATGACATGCGTTAGAGATGGTTTGGTGCCTAAAGTTTTTCTCCACTTCTTACCCCTGTTGGCATTCGGTAGTTCATGTCAGGCTGTGAGTGAGGCTTTTACCCCAGATTACGCTCTTTTCCCTACTTATGAATGGCCTGCAAAACTATAGCCGTGTAACATAGTAGTAAATTTAATTGTGAAGAAAGAAAAGAAAAAGCAGTACACACAGAGCCAGAGAGATCCAGGCAAGGGCAAGGCAGAGTCTTCCCTGATGGGCTCCTCCTGCAGCTGCTGGGTGTCCATAAGCCTCCACTAGCCTGAGAGAATCCCGACTTCTCTCCTCCCCTAAACCCAGCCTGAAAGATTCTTCCAGAATCAGATTGATTAACGTTCCATGTTATATCAGTCACTGAATCCTTACCCGGTGGCAAGATCAAATCTTTTAGCAATGACAAAGTACAGGAAATCCTCTTTGAAAGCTTGTATAGGAAAATATAGCAAAAATTACTTTGGCTTCTGAGCCACTTTTCAAAGGTGTGGTTTCCACAAGAGAAGTAAATTATAATGTGATAGCCTCTGACCACAGCATATGCTGAATAGTTCAACTGCTGCAGCAGGAAGTGAGGCTTTCTCTCTCATTGTTTGTTTTCAGTGGTTTTTAGTTTGTTTATTTTTGACAGGCAGTAGAAGGAACAATTCTTTAGCTTCAAGCCATTAGAGCCATGGTGTTCTACCCTAATGGTATAATAAAATCATTTTGGGGAAAAATACAAATACAAATCCCAGGCTAATTTAGAATCTGAGTAGGCCAAAGTGATATTTTTATTTAAAACGCCCATGCATTTTTTAAAGATTTATTTTATTTATTTGAAAGGCAGAGTTATACAGAGAGAGAAGTAGAGATGTTCCATCTGCTGGTTCACTTCCCAAATAATCACAATGGCCAGGGCTGGGCCAGGCTGAAACCAAGAGCCAGGAGCTTCATCCAGGTCTCCCATGCAGGGGCCCAAGGACTGTGGGCCATCTTCCACTGCTTTTGCAGGAGCATTAGCTGGGAGCTGGATGGGAATTGGACTCAAACTGCTGCCCATATGGGATGCCAGCGTCACAGGTGGTGGCTAAACATCATATCACAACACTGGCCCCTGCCCAAGTATTTCTAATGTGCAGCCCAAGTTGAGAGAAACCAGTAAACCAGAGGCTGCTCCTGACTTTATGTTTAGGAGGACTAGGAATTGGGGAAAGGAAGACAGGAAAGTGTGAGTGCTCCGTGGAGCAGTGGCTGGTGGGCAAGAAGCAGTCTGCCGGAGCTTGAGGCCAGCAGCCATCAGAGGCCAGGGAGCTCTCCAGCAGCAGTTTAATGAGCGGGAAAAGAATCTCCGAGGCTGAGTAAACACATTCATGACTCCCTTATTAGGGAAGGCATTCAAATGGAAGCAATACCAGGATATGAGCAATCATGGCCTATTTGCACACATGCACGGCCTGGAGCTTGAAACACTTGGCAACATCAGCCCCTGGTGGAACTTGGCCTATAGGAGCTGAGAAATGTATCAAATAAACGGCTGAATACCATAGGCCTCTTGGAAGTGTCCCCCCCCCCCCCCATAAGGCTGAAACCTTGAGAGAAGAGGAAGGACATGAAATAACTGCAGAAGGAAAGACGTTTCCTGTGCCCGCAGTGGCCTCCGTCCCAATCTTACTCTCGGCTTCTTGGCACCTGTGTTATGAAACTGAAAGGGTGTGACTGACAGAGTATGGTTTGGGTCCCCCAATTCATCCTCTTGTATGTGACTTTCTCACGAAGATGAAGGAAAACACGCCAGCACATCACCAGACTTGTGCTTCTACACATAAGGGTCCAGGAGGTGGGATCTGGATGACATTTGCAGTGGTGGGAGCAAGGGAAGAGCACAGGACTAAGGAAGAGCCCCTCGAGGGGAAGGGACCGGCCTGGCTGTTGCCACTGCACACCAACTGGGCTTGCTTCCAATCCCCGGGGACTGGCACTGGGCAGAGGGCACTGAGCACTCGCACCATTTTTGGTCAATTCCCAACCCACTCACTGCACATAGAAAGGGCACAGCGCAGGGGGGCTAGGGAGTTGTTGTGTAAGGAGGAGGGATAGCTCTTCAGTTTGGGAAGGTGGTGATGCGTTGCAGGACAATGTCCATTTTACTGAACGCAGAACTACATTAAAAAGGATGATGGCTAAGTTTATTATAACAATTTGTTATATAAAGACCTAGAACAGAAGAGTTTGAAGTTTCTCAACACAAAAACTTGATGTTTAAGGAGATTGGAATACTAATTGATTTGATCACGGCACGCTGTACACGTATCAAATTATCACATAATAAGCCCTAAATATGTACAATTACATAAAAAATGTTTTTTAAAAAAACTGTTTTTATTTGAGAGTTAAGGAGAAGGAGAGACATTAGTCTTCCATCTCCTGGTTCACTCCCCAAATGACCGCAACGGCTGCAGCGGGCCCATCCGAAGGCAGGAGCCTCCTCCAGGTCTCCCACGCAGGTGCAAGGGCCCAAGGGCCATCCTCCACTGCTTTCCCAGGCCACAGCAGAGAACTGGACAGAAGTGGAGCAGCCGGGTCTCAAACCGGCGTCCGCATGGGATGCCGGCGCCCACAGGCGAAGGCTTAGCCCAACACACCACAGCGTCAGCCCCAATTTAAAAAATTTTGACGTTAAGATTATTTTCTAAAAAACTCTTACCAAATTTTATATTTCAACTATATGCAAATAATTATGCAGCAGTATAATAAAACTATTTGGAATATTTAAAAGATACGAAGCTCAATACGCGTAACAGGTCCGCCGGCTCAGCGCGGGAGCCAGTTCCGACTGTGGCGGCACCCAGCGGATGGGTGCTGCGGCGCGGGTCGGACCCAAGCGAGGACGGCCGATAGCGGGCGAGGGCGCGCGGGGTCCTCGGCCTCGCGAGCCGCGGCTGGGGGACGCGCCGAACTCTCGCGAGACCGGCTGCGGGGGACTTTCTTCCGCCTGTCTTCCAAAATTTACAGAAACCTCCCAGTATTAGCAGCATGCCTCTGCAATGACGTGCAACATACTTTCAAGGCCTTTATTTCCTGTGTTTTATTCGTATCTGGACAAACTATGGGCAAAATGCTGCACGTGGAGGCAGGCATATAAGAAGACAGCCATGCCCATCAGGCCCCCGATCCGCGCCGCCATAAATAGCCCCCGCCTGGCTCGCCCGTTTCTTTGTGCGGTGGGTGCCGGCTCTGCTGTGTGCTGTTGTTCCGCGATGGAGGATGGGGCAGGCCGGTGGCCCGCCTCGGCGCAGACTCGCTTGCATAGGTACCGCGGGGACCTGCTGGGGTTGGGGGCCGCACTCCCGGGCTGAGCAGGATGAACGACTGTTAACAGACTAGAGTTTCTGAGGTCTCTGTGACGCCACTGCTTGGAACTGACCCAGCCCGGGTCGCAGGCGGGAACGCCGGAGTCTCCCCTGGCTCTGCTAATTCCTTGACTTGGTTCCAGGTTCCTGGTGCGTGCCGGCCGCTCCGCAGCGACGTGATAGCCGGTGAGTGGGTCGCGCGTGCGGTGGCGAGCTCCGAGTGGCTGGCGGCCTTGTGGGCAGACGAGGGTTGATGATGACCCCAGGTGACTCTGAGTGTCTCGCTGACGCCAGCACCGCAGCGCGCTGACGGCCCCTCTACCCCGGGTTCGGGGAGGTTGATGGCTGGAGGGCTCAAGTTAGTAACCTTTCTCTTATTTCCCTTACTAGGGGGTGTGAGGCGGCCCCCGGTGTTACCAGTGCGAAAAGGTGAGTGTTGCCTGCGGGAGCCTTCCTGCTTGCTGACCATCTCGTCCCCACGTTTGTCCTTCGTGGGGGCGCTCTCGGGGTCTGTTTTTATTTTTTTTTTGAAAGGCAGAGTGACAAGTCTTCTGTCCCTTGCTTAGCTTCCCCGGGCTGAAGCCAGGAGCCAGGAACCCATCCCCTCCACGGGTGGCAGGAGTTCCAGTATTTAGCCGTCTTGTGCTTCCCAGGCGTATAAGCACGGAGCTGGATTGGAAGTGGGACCCTGGTATGGGAGGCATGCCATACCATGTGTGGGTTAACTCAGTACCCCACAACCCCCGTCCCAGGTCTGCCCTTTTTTTATTTGAGAGGTAGAGAGAGGTCTTTCATCTGCTGGTTCACTTCCAAAATGGCCAGAGCTATGCCAATCTGAAGCCAGGTCTCCCATGTGGGTGTGGGGGCCCGAGGACTCGGGCCGTCTTCTATTGCTTTCCAAGGCCATAGCCGAGAGCTGGATCGGCAGTAGAGCATCCAGGACTTGAACCAGCATCCATATGAGATGCTGGCTCCAATACCCAGTATTTTTGTTCACCCCTCAAACCTGTCTGCGTCACCCATTTTTCTGTTGTGAGCCCAAGTGCATATGGCGCCTCCCAGTGGCCTTATTTTTTTAGTAAGATTTGTTTATTTGAAAGAGCCGTAGAGATCACGCATCTGCTGGTTTACTGTGATGGCCAGGGCTGCGCCAGGCCAAAGCCCTGATCCAGGAATTGAGTCTTGGATGTCAGCATGGGTGGCAGTGGCACAAGCACTTGGCCCATCTTCTACTGTCTTCCCAGGCACGTTAGCAAATAGCTGAATCAGAAGCAGAGTGCGCAGGACTTGAACTGGTGCTCCGATGGATGTTGGCATAAAAAGCAGCTTGACCTGCACCGCAGTGCAAGCCCCCGTCCCTGGCAGGAACTCCAGTACTTAAACCAGCTTCTGCTTTCCAGGCGCATTAGCTGGTAGCTGGGTGGGAAGCAGACCATCTGGGGCTCCCGGCACTCTGATGGGGTGTGGGTGTCCGTTCTGGCTTAATTCACTACTCCACAACCCTGCCCCAGGTCTCCCTGGTTCCTGATGAGCACATGGTACGGTGCAAGTATTCTGCCTGGTGATTCTCTAAGCACCACTTTTTGGATCTTACTTCCTGTGCAGCTGTTACTGCTTGTATCCCTGGCTTCCTTATTTGTTAGAGGGTACTGTCTCTTCCAGATGGCATCCCTTGATCCAGGTCTCCTAAACAGGGGATGATGATTTCACAGACTAGAGTCTCTGACCCTGGTCCTGATGTCAAAAATGAGTTCTGACTCGTTTAGGAGACCGGACACGGGGGTTTCTGCAAGGGCTGTGGCTCCTGGTTGGTCTCATGGTTGTCCGGTTTTCACCTCTCTAGGATGAGAGCTTTGGAGACAGCCAGGGGCGGTGCCCCCTGACAGACCGCGGAGGCCTCAGTTGTAGCTGGGCTGACTGATGGTTCTGTTCCTGCTGCTTCGTCCCTGGGCTGTGACGAGTGCGGAGCGGGCCCTCTGAGTGCAGTGGTGAGTGTTGCTGGCTTGGGCTCCCAGCACAGCACACAGTGGTCGTGATGACTTGGTTGGACTAGAGTCTCTGAGCTTTCTCTGAGGATCTTTGAGACCACCTGATCCACTCTGTGCTTGTGCTTACCCCAGCACCCTGGGCGGCATGTCCCCTACTGCTGGCCTGCTGCTCACCGCTGGTTGCCAGCATGGTTCTAACACTTGTTCCTTTTGTGGACTTTCAGGAGTTTGCTGACAAGGATGGGGCAGACCATAGGAACTCAGCGTCTTTGGCGTTTTCCTGAGCGACCATCAACAAATGCAAAAATAATAGAAATTTTGAGGCCCCTGCATGTCAGCTGGAAAGGTTATGACTACTAATTTTGTCAAAAGAATTTCAATAAAATAAGTAAAACAAGTAATGGATTGGTCTCAGTGCAAACAAGGCGCCATAGCGCTGGCCCACAAGGCAGTAATTGAGAGAAGTGGGAGGTGGCATCACACCCGGGAACAGTCACCATGGTTGGCACCAAAGTGTTTCTTTACAGACAGGTGTAAAATAGGATTACCAGAGTACTTTCGTGTCCAGTATTTTCAGTTTCTGGTTGTGTGAAAACGGGGCCCCTGACAGCTTCCCAGGTGACTGTGACAGCAGGAAACTGCAGCCCACTGTGTACCCTGTGTGAGGTGAGACAGCAGCATGAAAGTGCAAATGGAATTGAAGGACAAGTGCATCTTCAAAATTCTAAGACATTTGAGAGTGATCTAATTCACTGGTACACTCACTAATGGCCATAACGATCAGGGTTCAGTCAGACTGAAGCCAGGAGTCAGGAACCTTGGGTCTCCCTTGAGGGGTGCCAGGGCCTAACTACTTGGACCACCTTCCACTATCGGGCATGTTACTGCAGAGCTGGATTGGAGGCAGGACCCTGGAACTGCAGCTCTATTAGGGGCTGCCGGCATGGTGACGGCCACAGCACTGGCCGCAGGTAACGGGCATTTTCATGTAGTTTGAACCACCTGTGTTGGTGCTGCCTCGAAGACAACTGGGCTGTGAGCACAGGTGGGGAGCAGAACAGATAATGCCCAGAGGAACCGGTTTGGGTGTGAGGGTTTGTTTGTTTTTTTGTTTTTTTTTTTTTAAAGATTTATTTGAAAGGAGTTCAACAGGAGAGGCAGAGAGCTGAAGAGCAGCAGTCAGGACTCAAACCAGTGCCCATCTGGGGTGCTGGTGCTGCAGGGGGTGCTTTTACCAGCTATGCTGCAGGGCCGGCCCCCTAATTTACTTGAAAAAGAAAATAAAATTGTTTAAAAATGATTTATGTATTTGAAAGGTAGAGTTAGAGCTTTCATCTGCTGGTTCACTCCCCACCTGCATCTCCTGGTGGGTGCAGGGCCATCCTCTACTGCTTTCCCAGGCGCATGAGCAGGGAGCTGAGGTGGAGGTAAAGCAGCACCTGGGGCTTGAACCAGCACCCAAGGGATGTAAACGCTGCAGGCTATGCCACAGTGCCGGCTCCCTCCCCACAATATGTAAGACAAGTTTTGTTTCTAGAATATTCCAAACACAGATAAATTACAGAAAGCAAATCTCTGTAAGGGGCTTACAGTATGTGTTCTTAGGGAGTGTTTCCTGCTTTTCTATCCCACTGGTCCAGCGAGGATTTATTTTCCTTAATTGTGTTTTGGCTCACTGTGTTTCCAGAGGACAGGGTCACCTGCTTCCATTTCTGTTCTGAGCTCTAGTCCCTGTCCCAAAACAACTAGCCCTGTGTTAAAAGAACTGGATTAAAGTTGGGTGTTTTTGTTTTGAAGGCAGAGGCAAGCATTTCAACCAGTGGCTCTCTCAAATGCCTGTAACAACCAGGGCTGGGTCAAGGAGTCCTCCGTGGTGCGTGGGCTGTGACCTGCCTCCTGGGGTACAGATTTACGGGAAGCTGGAACTCAAACCCAGTGTTCAGTATGGAATGCAGGCATCCCGGCATGACATCTTAACTCCTGCACCCGACATCTGACATCTGCCTCAAGATGGCGCACTGCCTGTAAACCAGCATCTGCCGGAGCACTGGTTTGAAGCCCGGCTGCTCTCATTCAGCTCCCTGATGTGCCTGAGAAGGCAACTGAAGGTGAATCAAGCACCTGGGCTCCCGCCACCCAAGTGGGTGACCAGGCTGGAGTTCCCGGCTCCCGGCTTCCCCAGCCCTGCCCTGGCTGTTGTGGCTGTTTTGGGAGTGAACCAGTGGATGGAAAACCTCTGTAACTGACTTTCAAATATTTAAAGATAAATCTTTTTTTTTAAATGCTTTTTTTTTAACTTTTTGAAAGGCAGAGAGAAAGCTCCCGTTGGTTCAGTCCCCAGATACCTGCAGTGGCCAGGAGCCCAGAACTCATTCTGGGTCTCCAACCCAGGCACTCCATTGTGGGCTGGAGCAGTGTCTTCAGCGCTGTGTACCACCCGCCCTGATACTGCACAGTTCTCCTGAACTGTGAAGCTCCCAGGTACTGAACTCAGGGTAGTGGTTCCTTGGGCTGAGAGGTGGAAGTGTGTGTAGGGAGGCCAATGAGCAGCCAGGGAGCTGTTTGTGGGAGCTCACTGAGTAATCTTGATGTTTCCAAAACAGTTCTCTGTAGCTTAGCAACATGTTGTGACCTGATTCCCAAAGGACTGAACAAAAACTGAGCTGTCCTACAGGGATACCTGTGTGCTCCAGCTCACACATGGAGTTCCCTTGCGAGACAGCCGTTAGGAGCCAGGGTCAGGACCACAGGGGGATCCGGCCCACAGCAACAAGCCAGCAGGTGTAATAAAAGGTGACTGAGCAGCCAGGAAACAGATAACAGCTTACAAGGTGGGATTAGGAGGCTGACAGCACTCGGAGAAAGGACTTGGTCCTTTGTGCAAGGACAGGGCCTTGTAAAGGAAGGAGCAGCAGACTAGAATTGACATAAGCAGGTGAAACAACAGACTGGGAAATTAATGAATTAGAAGAAAAAACCTGAGGCTGTTGCCTGCAATGCGACATGGGTACTGGATCGAGTCCCGGCTGCTCCACTTCTGATCCAGCGTCCTTGCTAATGGCCTGTGAAAGCAGTCCTTGGGCCACTGCACTTGCATAGAAGATCCTGAAGAAGCTCCTGGCTTCAGATCGGCCTAGTTCCGGCTGCTGTGGCCATTTGGGGATGAACCAGCGGATGGGGGACCTCTCTAAGTGTGCCTCTCGCGTAAATAAATCTTAAAAGGAAAAAAAAAAAAAAAAGCCAACGTGTGGAGCAGAGAAGCTGGAGGTGGTTAGAAGCAGGCGTGAAGCGTGAAGCGTGGAGCAGCCTGCTCCGGCCTTGGTGCTGCTTGTTCAGTGCTGCCCTCACCCTGCTGCCTGCTCCTGCTGCAGCCCCAGGTGCCATCTTCAGCTCTCCCAGTGGTGCATGGGAGCATCTGGTTTTAGCAACACAGACCCATTTGTTAGTTTATTATAGTACTTTCTTTTCCATGACATCCTACTTCCCTATGATCATCTTAAAAAAAAAAAAAAAAAAAAGTACTTTTTTAAGATTTATTTTGGCCGGCGCCGCGGCTCACTAGGCTAATCCTCCGCCTTGCAGCGCCGGCACATCAGGTTCTGTCCCAGTTGCCCCTCTCTTCCAGGCCAGCTCTCTGCTGTGGCCAGGGAGTGCAGTGGAGGATGGCCCAAGTGCTTGGACCCTGCACCCCATGGGAGACCAGGAGCAGCACCTGGCTCCTGCCTTCGGATCAGCGCGGTGCGCCAGCCGCGGCGGCCATTGAGGGTGAACCAACAGCAAAGGAAGACCTTTCTCTCTGTCTTTCTCACTGTCCACTCTGCCTGTCCAAAAAAAAAAAAAAAAAAAAATTATTTATTTTAAAGGCACAGGCAGAGAGAGAAGTCTTCCATCTGCTGGTTGCAACAGCCCAAAGCTGCGCTGATTCAAAGCCAGGAGCTTCTTCCTGGTCTCCCACGTGGGTGCAGGGGCCCAAGGACTGGGCCATCTTCTACTGCTTTCCCAGGCCACAGCAGAGAGCTGGATCAGAAGTGGAGCAGCCAGGTCTCAAATTGGCGCCCATTTGGGATGCCAGCACTGCAGGCAACAGCTTTATCTGCTACGCCACAGTACCTGTCCCAAAAATGTACTTATTTATATGAAAGGGGAAACATCAGGGAAAGAGAGATCTTCCATCCACTGGTTTAATCCACAAATGGCTGCAACAACCTGGCTGGCCAGGTCAAAGTCAGGAGGCTGGAACTCCATCCAGGTCTCACATGAGTGGCAGATGCTCAGGCTTGGGCCATCACCCTGACGCATTAGCAAAGAGCTGGATTGGAAGCAGAGTAGCTGCTGCTTGAACCAGCTGTCTGAAAAGGGATACCAGTGTCACAAACTTAACTCGCTGGGCTACAAAGCTGGTGCCTGTGTTTTGTTTACTTTTATTTTCATTTTAAGATTTATTTATATATGGGGCTGGCACTGTGGCGTAGTAGGCTAAGCCTCAACCTGTGGCGCCAGCATCCCATGTGGGCGCCAGTTCATGTTCCAGCTGCTGCTCTTCCAATCCAGCTTTCTGCTTTTGACTTGGGAAAGCAGTGGAAGATGGACCAAGTCCTTAGGCTCCTGCACCCATGTGGGAGACCCAGAAGAAGCTCCTGGCGTCAGATCTGCCCATTTCTGGCTATGGCAGCCATTTGGGGAATGAACCAGTGGATGGAAGATTTTTCTCGCTGTCTCTCCTTCTCTGTCTATAACTTTAGCTCTCAAGTAAATAAATAAAAATCTTAAAAGATTTATTTATCTATTTGAAAGGCAGAGAGAAGGAAAGACAGAAAGAGCTCTTCCATTTCCTGGTTCACTCCCCAAATGTCTGCAGCAGCCAGGGCTGGGCCAGGCAGAAGCTAGAAGTCAGGAGCTCCATCCTGGTCTCCCACGTGAATGGCAGGGACTGACATACTCGGGCTATCCTGCATTGCCTTCACAGGTGTATTAGCGCATTAGCAGGAAACTGAACCAGAAGTGGAGCAGCTGAGACTGGAAACGGGTACTTGGCCTTGAACATGGGATGCTGGTGGCTTTACCTGCTGTGCCACAACACCAGAGCCCCATGATTGTGTCATTTCCCAAAGAATAAGGAAACAAATGGTCCTAAGGGTTAAAGTACCTGCTGACTCTGAAAGCAGCAAATGTCATTGTCCCCAAAGTGAAACTCAGGTAGAAGTAGGTCACATTCTAGACTGGCTATTACCATCATTAAACCATTAAATGCGAAAGAATGTAGTCAAGATAAAGATGCCGGCACATAGTCCTCCAGGAAGTGCTCTTAGGTAATAAGCTGGGAGAGGGGAGATGTTTGTGAAGGGCCTGGCACGAGCAGTGACCACCCTCCAGCACCACACAGGGTGGTTGATTTCTTCTA